TGTCCCCATCGGCATGGAGACACCGTCCCTGTGCTGAGGGCATGTGGCCTGGTAAGCAACAGGGATCGAAGGGGCACTCATTTATCCCCCCCTTTCCTGCCCTGCCAGACCTGTGCTCGGATCAAGGGTCTGGTAGGAATTTAGGGGGACCCCACATTTCCCCTCCATTTTTGGGGGTGGGGTTCCCCTGCAAAAGTCCTACCAGGCTTTACTTAGCAATGAAAAATGGCTGCCCCTTTAAAAATGGTACTTTTTGAAATTTTTTTCACTGATTCATGATTCACTCAGTACCTGAGTCCCCAAACCCCTTTTATGGCCAATAAGCCTTCAAAATGGAATTGAATTTACAAGTTTGAGTCTCATAGACTTGGATTAGGTTTGAAGTCGAATATTTATTAGATTTGAATGTTCAACCGCGAACTGAACACAGGGGTATTCGGCCCATCACTAATTCCATACTTAGAATTACACCCCCAAAACACATTATGCTGCTCCTCTGAAGTATGGGGATACCATATGTGTGAGACTTTTTCACAATGTAGCTACACAGAGGGGCCCAAAATCCAAGGAGCACATTCAGGCTTTTCAGGGGCATAAATTACACATCTAATTTCCTGCCTACCTATCACATTTTTGGAGGCCCTGGAGCACCAGGGCAGTGGAAATACCCACAAAATGACCAGATGAGGGAACACAAACACCCCATTGTAGGACGTACGGGGACATTCTCCCTGAACAACACTTGCCCTGCTCCGCCATTTATTTTTAGTGGCTGGGTGGGAAATGGTTAAAGCCTATAGCTTACTGTGTATCCATACTGACACAAATAAGTGGTCCTTGACCGGACCTGAAAAAAAAAAAACAGAAGTATATGCACTCAGACATACATAAATACAAGTCCTCACTGACACACCTGTGTAGGGCTGCACACTACCAAGAATGAGCATATTTTTGTGGTAGGTAGCACAGGCGGATGTGATCAACCATGGCCAGCAAGCCTATACAAATCAATGATGCTGGCAGGCAGCCGCAGATGTCCACTCAGTCTGTGATTACATATGGTTAAGGACACATGAGTGGCCCTGGGCGCAACCTTTCCACCTTTCTCCAAAACTGTCCAGGGCCGCTTATCTGTCCCTAACCACATGAAACCACTCAATAAGTGATTATATAAGAACAGCTGTGGAACAGCTGTGGCCAAATGACAACCTGTCATTGATTTGTACAGGCTTACTGGCGGCATCTGATCACATCCTCCTGCATTCCTTCTAACTTTCTGTGATGAGAAAGAGGGACACCTTCTAGCACAATGTATTTAGGCAATAGACACAACCCTGACATTACCCCCAGTTATGTAAACCTTTAAGAATGTATATGCCAAAAATGATTGGATAAAGCCAGGATTTTTCTTTACACTGGCTTTTTAAAATAGAAAACAAAATAATTAAACAATAGGATGAACGTTTTAGCGCAGAATAACCCTTTTCGTAGTCAAATAGTACATTTTCATAGAAATCTGTACAACAGACCAAAACGAGGGACAACTGAGGAGGAAAGAGGGACAGAGGGATTTACTTCCAAAAGTGACAGTTGGGAGGTATACAGATGTGCTACTGCTGCACAAATATGCCCAATCTTGATGCTATGTGACCCTGCATGGTCATTTGAATGAAGCCTTAATATACAGTACTTATATATAGTGCATTTTAGTTAGATGTTTGTAACATTCTTTTATCCAATGCAGTGGAACGTGCAAAAAAAAAAAACCCAGCAAGTGGCAGCCACTCAAATAAGGAGGAAGGGACCACACTTTTCATAAACACCTTGATGTGGCTTCACGTATACAGTATGTGCATTTCTGCTCCAAAAAAAAACCCCCTCTGCTTTTAATATAAATGTTGGAAAACAGTTTATGGTTTTCTGGCTAGATGCCATGGAGGCTGCGGAAATTTTGTAATGTTCATATGTTCTTAAAGCATAAACCAACAATAGTATATGTCACACAATAGAAATGTTATATACAAGAGAACATGCCCCCTAAAAAAAAAAAAAAAATATATATATATATATATATATATATATATAAATATAGAAAATATAAAACCATGTCTTAGTTATTCCATGTGTGGGAGTAGAGGGAGCTAGTCTAGAAGGAATGGAAAACTAAAGGTCAGACCAGACCATGGAGAGTTCATAGGAGTCAATTTAGTAGGATGTGCACTTGTATAGGCAGCTCCACCAGAGACTGGAATGATCTCTGCAAAACGGAAAAGAAACATGGAAAGGGGGAGGGGGCAGACTGGGTTGGGTGGCACCTAAGTGCAGCATAAAGGGACATCATTATTAACCACTTGCCCTCCAAAAGATTTACCCCCCTTCCTGACCAGGCCATTTTTTTGCGTTACTTTAAATGACAATTGCGCGGTCATGCAACGCTGCACCCAAATTAAATTTACATCCTTTTTTTCCCATGAATAGAGCTTTCTTTTGGTGGTATTTGACCGCCGGTGCATTTTTTATTTTTATTGCGCTATAAAAAAAAAAGACCAACAATTTTGAGAAAAAAAAAACTATATTTTTGACTATTAAACATGTCCAGTAAGAAAATGTAAAAAGCTAATTTCATCATAAATTTAGGCCAAAATGTATTCTCAAATGTATGTATGTCTTTGCAAAACAAAATCCCAATACGTGTAAATGAATTGGTTTATGTGAAAGTTTCAGCGTTTACAAATTATTATTATTATTATACAGTATTTATAAAGTGCCAATAGTTCGCTCAGCGCTGTACATTACAAAGGGGGACAGAACATGTGACAGAACAATACCAATACAATGCAAAACATGAGGGGATCGAGGGCCCTGCTCTTTCGAGCTTACAATCTAGATGGCGGTATATATACTGGGATTTTTTTTTTAATTGTTTTTAATAGTAATGGCAGTGATCAGCGACTAATAGCGGGCATTCAGCAGGCATTCAGCAGGCATTCTGACACTGGGGGGAACTGACTTGGTGTCACTGATATCCCCAGTGACAACAATACAGTAATCAGTGCTAATAAAAAGCACTGACACTGTACTAATGGCACTGGGCAGGAAGGGGTTAACATCTGGGGTGAGCAAAGGATTAACTGTGTGCTGTTTAACTGTGGGTTGTGTGAGTGCTTTCCACTGTACTGTAAGCACACTGCTTTGTATGGCTCTGCTATGCAGAGCCATGCAAAGCAGTGTGCAGGAGCTGATAGGGGAGAGATCTGTATTGTTTACATAGAGTTCTCTCCCTTTGTTGGTCATGCTCCACAATCACTGGGTGTCGGCGAGTAATCACCAGCAGGGACCTGGTGACTGACAGACAAAGCCACAAATAGCGGCATGGGTAGGGCGCATGCGTGGCTCGTGCGCCCCCCCACTTGTAAATTTAAAATCTTGTGTATATATATATATGTAATTTTGTGCACCCCTGCCGCCCTGTAGCAGTATATCTGCTATGGGGGGGGGGGACTGGGTTGAGTGGCAGCTAAGTGCAGCCTAAAAGGACATAAAATTCAAAACCTTGTGTATATATATATATATATATATATATATATATATGAGCTTTTGTGCACCCCTGCTGCCCCATACCAGTATATCTGCAAGAGGGTGGCGGGATAGCGGTTAATAAATCAAATTATATCAAAGCGGTTAATAAATCAATAAATGCAAATGCACATGTACTTAATGCGCTTATCATGGATCACGAGCCAATGATATTGCACAGAGTAGCCCAGATCCCCCTCTTCTGGGGTCCCCCACTGGTGCTCTGAGCTCTTCCTCTTCCTAGTGTGCCCCTTCTGAGTGTGATCACAAGTTGCGCTCTGTCTGTCTCCTGAAACACAGTGCGACTCAGCCCTGCCCCCTAGTCACTGGCTTTGATTGACAGCAGGAGGAGCCAATGGCTCCCGCTGCTCTCACTGAGTCCAATGAGGAGGGGGAGAGAGAGCAGTACTGCTGCTCTCAGTTCCAGTACTGGATCGAGATCAGGTTCAGGTACGTTTTTTTTTTGGGGGGGGGGGGTGAAATGTGAAACTGCACGTAAATGTTTTTTTTACCCTAATGCAGACAATGCATTAAGGTGAAAAACCTAAAGCCTTTACAACCACTTTAAAATGATGCTTGGTACTATTATACTAGAATTTCTCAATGACGTGTCACATTCTGGGACAGTAACATTCTCTCATGCTGTGACAATGTAATGCAGAACAGAATCAGAGCAGGTAAAACATTCTGAGATTGGATGGCTGACTCACACAACTAGATTTTCTCATCATTTTATAGGTTGTTTCATTTCTCCTTTGGCAGCAAGAAGGTTAAATGCTGCCAATTGCAATTTAAACTCTCCAATTCCTGTGTCTGGTATTCTTATTTCTTCAATTTGTTGAGCTGACAGTAATGATTTATTGTCCTGCTCACTGTAATATGTGTATCATTTTAGCCTTAGCTTCAGCGAGAGAGAGAGAGCCTTGCTCTGGCAGATTTTGGCCTGTGCACACACTGTATTCTTTAATCCCCATTAATAGCCATTATTTTCTCTTAGCTTAATCTTTTTTGAAACTTTCAATGTCGCAGTCGCCTCTGAAGATTTCTACAAACCCCCGAAGAGCAAAGAGGATTGAAGGAAAGTTCAGAAACCTTTGTTTGGATCAGCATAAGAATTTATTCCTATTATTTATTCCTATTCCTTTACCCATCAATAAAGGCAAACATGAAATATGCTTCTGTGCACATTGCAAAGGAAAAGCTTGATTCCCTTTATCCTGGAGGGACAGATATTGGAAAGCTGTTTTGTTAGCATGCTGTTTTTACACATTTAGGTGAAACAACCATTTTCATATATTATACTGTAATTAGCAGCTATGCCACTAGTTGGTAGAGTATGTTTTGTCTAATGTTTGCATAATATTATGTTCTTCCTACATACTAAGGCAGCCCATACATGACTGTATTTTTTAATACTTAAAGTGGAGTTCCACTCACCCATTTCACTGGCCATCCTGTATTCCAGGCGCCGGCATCTTCAGTGTGGGCACCCGGCTGTGACAGCTTGTGGCTTCACAGCTGGGTGCCCACTGCGCATGTGTGAGTAGTGCTGCGCTTCCTGAATGGCCCGTCATCTTCTGGGACCTGTCACTTGTCCCACAAGACTTCAGGGAGGGAGGATAGGGGTACAACTTCCGTTTCTGATTGCCTACACGATTGCAGCGAAAGTGGGAGCAGGGTACCTATCAAATTTGGGTACCCATTCCCCCCCACTCCCCAAAGGTGCCAATCCTTAATGGGGAGCAGGGGACCAATATTTAAAGCGGAACTTCCCCTTTTGGGTGGAACTCTGCTTTAACCACTTGCCCTCCAGAGGATTTACCCCCCTTCCTGACCAGGCCATTTTTTGCGATACGGCGCTGTGTTACTTTAACTGAAAATTGCGCGGTCATGCAACACTGCACCCAAATTAAATTTACGGCCTTTTTTCCCCCACAAATAAAGCTTTTTTTTTTGTGGTATTTGCTCACCTGTGTGTTTTTTTTTATTTTTTACGCTATAAACAAAAAAATACCAACAATTTTGAAAAAAAAAAACTATATTTTTGACTATTTGCTATTAAACATGTAAGTAAATTAAAAATTTAAAAAAATCAAATTTCATCATAAATTTAGGCCAAAATGTATTCTGTGACATGTCTTTGCTAAAAAAAAATCCCATTATGTGTAAATTAAATGGTTTATGTGAAAGTTATAGCGTTTACAAATGGCTGTACAGATAATGGAATTTTGTTTTCTTTTTTACTAGTAATGGCAGCAATCAGTTACTTATAGCGGCAGACATTCTGACACTGGGGGGAACTGACTTATTGTCACTGACATCCTCAGTGACACCAATACAGGGATTAGTGCTAATAAAAAGTACTGACACTGTACTAATGGCACTGGGCAGGAAGGGGATAACATGAGGGGCTATCAAAGGGTTAACTGTGTGCTGTTTTACTATGAGGGCTGTGTGTGTTTCACTGTAAGCACACTGCTTTGTATGGCTCTGCAGAGCCACACAAAGCAGTGTGCAGGAGCTGACAGGAAGAGATGTGTATTGTTTACATATAAATCCTGTATAAATCCTGTACAATAATAGGTCTCTCCCTTGTTGGAAATCCTCGGTGATTGCCGTGTACCTGCGGGGAATCACCGCCTGGGACCCGCTGGTTGACAGCCGAGGCCACGAATGGCGATGTGGGTAGGGCATGCGCGCACCCCCTACCCGGAACTGAAAAATCACATATATATGCATATATATATATATATATATATGTGATTTTGTGCACCCATGGTGGCGCGGAAGCGGTTTTAACCACTGGATTAATTAATTAAAAAACCAAACAAACCTGAGTCCCCTATCCACACACTAGATATGGTTGGGGGAATATCTCCCAGTGAGCTATTGTGTGCTGACAGTGGGGAGACTTCACAATACACTGATCAGCACTGCCAACGCTAGTCGACAGCTCTCTTCGTGTGGAAATTTTCCAACAGAGTAGTTGAACAGAAATCGATCAGTAGAATGATTTCTGTACAACCAGCATACTCATACATAAATCAAAATTCAGCTGGTCCCTACTGAAAACCTGCCAAATATCGATCAATGTATGGCCAACTTTAGAGTGTTACTAAACCCAGGAGCCTGCATTCCCTATATCTGGTCCCCCACAGTACACAGAACATAGAAATGCAATTATTTATTAAATATAAACTGCTAAATACCTTTTCTCCTCAGCAGTTAGAGCAGTCTTGTTTCTTCTATCAGTGTCCAGCTAAGCACTGGTTAAAGCTTGTAGGAGGAGTTTTCTTTCTGCTCTAGGAGGATGCAAAACTCCTGACCTCTGATTGGCCCTGTGCTGATCACATGCACTCTCCCAGGAAAAGAAAAAACCTTTCTAGCAATACACACTATACTGAGCATGTGCATGTGGCTACGGGTTCAGTCTGTCTTATCAGGTGGACATCTGAACAAAAGGAGGGGCAGAGAAAACAGGCTCAAAAGGCCTTTTACACAAGGCAGAGGATTAACCCCTTAGGTTCACAGTGAGCATAACAAGCATGCTTTACTGCATATACAGACTGATTTTACTGTTGTGGGTTTAGTAACACTTTAATGGTTAGAATGTTTTATGCAACTAGTGCAGCACTCAAAAAACAAACGTGAATAAAGCGAACAAGCATAAGTGACATGAATAAAACACAAAAATAAAAGTGACAAAACAACATATACCACACAGCCACAAACATCCATCCGTTGACTCCGAACTTTTAATATTTTTTTGATATTTGTTGGACACTCAATGTTTTTGGGTATGTGTTATTTTATCACTTTTATGGTTTAATGGTGTTACTTCTGCTAGTTCACTTTCATCACGTTGGTTTTCTTAATGCTGCACTAGTTGCGTAAATTATTTGAGAGGGTTTGGCATATTGACCTTGAGTGCCAGCAGCTCTTCATCCCACTGAGCGCTGATTCTACCTACTATTTCTGTAATGGTTTGAATGTGAGTTCTTGTCTCTGTGTTCCTGTTGTTTTCCAATAAAACATGAAGGGTTCAGCAGAATCTTGATTGGTAAGAGCCATATCTGCATCATCTTTCCAATAGGGTGTAGGCCCAACTGCAGCCAAAGTGCTTAAAGTGGTTCGAAAGGCTCCAGGTTTTTTATCTTCATGCATTCTATGACAGACCTGTCATTCGCTTGCTCTGCGGGGATCAGTGGAGAGACCCCCCCCCCCGCTGAGCAAGCGGATCCGCTAAATGGGTCCGCCCATGTGAAAGGACCCATACCTATACTGCAATCATTCACAGGCAAACTCACAGAGGAGGAAAAACATCTGTTCCACTTACAGTAAACGAGGATTCAGCAATCAATCTTTCTCCATCCAATTTCTAGTAGGTCCAATTATTAATATATATATATATATATATATATATATATATTTTTTACAATTTTGTTTGAATATAGCTCTATGTTTGTTCCAAACATGCTTGAATCCACTTACTGTTGACTGACTCTACCTCTGCTGGAAGTCTATTCCAAGCACCAACTACCCATTCAGTAAAATTGTATTTTCTAAGATTCGTTTTGAACTTTCCCTATTGCTAGCTTTAGATCACATCCCCATGTTCTTGGCTTCATATTGAAAGTACTGCTTTCCTCAACCTTATTCTCCTTCTTGTTGTATGTAAAGGTTTCAGCCATATCTCATCTTTCCCTTCTTCCCTTAAAGGGGTTCTAAAGCCTTAATGCATTTTGTGCATTAAGATGAAAAACCTAATGTGTGCAAAATCCCCCCCAGCTCTCCTTATATTTACCTGAGCCTGATCTGATCCAGCGATGTGTACGTGAGCAGCGGCTCTTGCGCTGTCTCCATCCTCCCTGGGGAGATTGATGGCAGAGGGAGCCATTGGCTCCTGTGGCTGTCAATCAAATGCTGTGCCAAGCGAGCAGGGGGTGGGACTGATCCGCCCACTCTGTGTCAATAGAGAATTTCCATGAGGGCACTTGCCAAAGAGGAGGAGTCTGAAGCACCAGTGGAGGACCCCAGAAGAGGAGGACTGGGGTATGTATGACATGTTTGTTAGTTGAAAAAAGAAAGCCCAAACAAGTACCTGGTTTTGATAGGTACCCGCTTCCACTTCAGGTCAGATTGCTCCGACAATCCGAGTGAAAGTTTAGCCACCCCTTTTTCCCTTGATTTGCAATAATCTGAAATCAGTACCCCAAATCCTATTCCTCTGTAGTGCTGGCCAACACTGTACCCCCAATATTGTACTCTGTCAAGGGATCGTTTTTCTCCAGGTGCAATATTTTATATATAAATATTGAACTGCGGTTTTCACTGCTTTGACAAATCTTCCAGAAATGTCAAATCCTACTCCATGTTATAGACACCACCAGGGATATCAACCCTATTTGTCATCTGCAAAAAGTCGTACCTTACCCACCAAACCTTTCGTCATATCGCCTACATATACTGTAGATAAAACTTAACAGGACCTAGTATAGAGCCTTGTGGTACAACACTAGTGACTGGCCTCTGTTCCAAATAAACGTCAATAACAACCACATTCTGGTATCCTTTAGCCAACTGTGCATCCACTGAACAACCAGGGGTGTATTTACCACAAGGCACTTGCCTAGGGAGCATTTTTCAGGGGGGCAGCACCTCCCCCCCCGAAGAAGGGATGAAGAAGGGACATGCATGCCATGGGAACCATGTGGGATCCAAGAGAGTCTGTGGGCTGCTTGATGGTGTATGTAGAGCCTTACTCCCATCTTTCTCTCTATCGCAGGGGGTGGGGGGTAGTGGAAGGCTTTCCCGAGTGGGGGGTAGGGGTGTTGTTGGTCAGTGTCAGGATTTCTTCACAGGAGGGGAAGGGGAGGTGGTGTTGGTCGGTGTCCGTTGGGGCAGACGATTTTTCTGTTGCCTAGGGCAGCGCAGAACCTAAATACACCACTGTGAACAACCCAAGGGATAAGTCCTAGCTCAAGATTGACTGCAATCCCAGTTGGTGTATGTGTGTGAAAAGATCCAGATTGCACATCCTCTGGGTGGTATGTTGCTACCAGTTGAAGTCTAGTGGATCAGGTGTTTGTCTAAGTGGATCAGCTGTGAATTGTAGTACTAGCATGACTGCATATTCAGATAAAATGCTTTTTTTATAAATACAATGTTGCATTTTTCCCAGTTCATAGGATAACATACAAGATACATTAGTTAAATCATCTTTTTTGCCATGATAAAGAGACTTCCTTCTGTGGTTTGGTACATAGATCCATGCATTTATTGAGCTTTAACCCTCATAGCGGTGAAGTGTTACATTGCCTTGGCGTGCAGATTAGTCCACATATCTGCTCATTTTTCTTGTACAATACAGGTGTCCAGTTTATCATCAAGCCAGAGCATGGGGGCTTGAAATACATACTGTATGTATTCACTCCTGGATATATGCCCCATTGTATCACTAACTGATTAGTCTTCCAGGAGAATTTTTAGACAATTGTCTATTAATTATAAGAGGGGGGGGGGGGTTGCTATATTGGCACTGGCATAGGGCCAGAGGTCCCAATGGCCTCCCTGCTACATTCAGTTTTACACCTGGACAGGAGGAGCAGCGGAGCAGCGTATACAGGAACTGATCCCCTCCATTTTCCTCCTGCAGCCAATGAAAGCCTACTTCTCCTCCTGTCCCTCCCACTGCTATGCAGCAGCTGCAGGAGGAAAATGGAGGAGAACAATTCCTGTATATGCCTCCCCTCACATCCAGGTTACTCTTATTTCTGCTGCCCGGGACCCTGAGTGCTCCTTTGCCAGCTTCCCCCTTTCTCCTCTCCAGCCAGCTACTGTGGGGGATGTTTAAGAATGGAGAGTGGAGAAGGGACTGTAAATATGTAATTCCTTTTCTGAATAAACACAGTGAGTGATGGATAATGATCACTTGCGGTGTTCATTCACAACTGAAGAGGAGTAAACTGTGTTAGCTAGACTTCAGTTTGTGAATGAACAGGAGCCTCTGTACAGAGCTATTCCTGTTCATTTATTTCATGCAACTGAGGCTGCAGAGATGGAGATTGAGTATGTCTCAAAGCTGAGACATCAGGGATCTGTTTAGACCCCTGATATTTCACCAAAGCACCCCCCCAACAGGGCTGCTAACAAAATTGTAAAAAAAATAAACAAATCTGTAATAAAAAAAATAAAATACATTGGTAAAAGAAATAAATAAATATAATAAGATAAAAAAAAACAAAAATAAAAAACTAGTGACACCATCCTCTGCCCCAGGGGCGGACTGACAACTCATGGGGCCCCAGGCAATAGGGGATCATGGGGCCTTTGTGTCCTTGCCCAAACTCAAAAAAGCCTATGAAAAAGCTACCAGGGGCATCTCATGGGGCCCCCTACTGACCCCTGGCCCTTGGGCAGTGCCCGACTTTCCAAATGGTCAGTCCGCCCCTGCTCTGCCCTACTGACCCTGTCTTCTCCCCTACTTACAAAGTCCACTGCTGTACTGACACCATCCATTGCTCTACTGACAGACACCATACACTGTTCAACTGATACCATCCTCTGCCCTACTGACATAGTCCACTGCCCATACTGACACCATCCTCTGCCCTGCTGACAATGTTCACTGCCCTACTGACACCATCCATTGCCTTACTGACACTGTCCACTGCTCTACTGACTGACAATGTCCACATTTAAGGTAGGCTAAGTTTATACTTTTACATTGGCATTTGTTTTATTATAAAAGAATTGTGGGTATAAGCTCCTTGATATGGATGTAAGCTGCTATGCACAAAAAGGTAACCAATATCACCCTCAAATAACAATATATATAACCAGAGTGCAGCGCTAAAAAGAGTAAATGCAAATATATACGTATAAAATATGAGTAAGTATGGTGCAAAGAGTTCAAATAATAATGTATTTCAGAATAAAGTGACTCTTGTGCTGTGATGACTGAGGGGTCCGGTATCCGTGTGATAGTGGTAAAGGTAATGCGCACTCACCGGACGCTTTGTATAAATTAATCCAGATGTCATCAGGTGTTGGGTAGTCCTCCTTCTAATGTAAGGTACCTGGTTGCCAGTACCTAGGTGTTAATATACAGAATTTCATCCAGAGAGGTTGCTCAGGACTCCGGTTGGCCTCCCAAGATAACGGATTTGTCTGGTTGGTGGAACACACATTTTCAGGTGTGTGCAACTTTAATTAAAATGACGGAGGATGTCCTTTCTATGGAACTCTTTGGTAGACGAATTATTTGCGATGCAGAGTATGGAACAGTGTGTTATGTTGGAACCGTACCACCCACTTCAGTGCTTTAGCCCACAGATCATTGCAGTACAGAGAAGGTCTGCCTATCCAGAGGGATACTAATCACCAGGACCACAGGGGAACCCATAAAGGGAAAAGGACCACCTTACCGGTGCCACACTACCTTACATTAGAAGGAGGACTACCCAACACCTGATGACATCTGGATTAATTTGTTTTATTATATTTTCCTAAGTTTTCCTTACTATTTAGTTAGTCAATACTAATTATTTAGATTTTAAAAAAAGTGCCGAACCCAGGTGATCTTTAATCTCTTCATGTTTTTCAGATACATCTCCACCTCTCAAAGTTTGCCCACCCTCCAGAATATTCAAAAGATTTAGAGAGGTATGTCAAAATGTGGACAGTTACTCCAAAATCTTTGGAATTACCCTCTCAATATGTAAGTAAAGATCTGAAATACCTCTTTAGCCACTTGGAGTATCTTGGCACATGGCGAGAGTAGCTTTGCACGCAGTGAAAGTGGAGGGTAGTAGTGGGGGAAACTTTTGCATCGGGGCCCACAAGCTTCAAGCTAATCCTCTGTATATTGTTTTTGATAATAAACATTTTTGATATTTGCGTGCATATATGTTCTCCTTGTTCTTTCTTTAGTGGTTTTGATATATATTATTTAGGGGAATGCACCCTGCTAATGTTAGTGGTTATTTTGTTGAAAAATAGGGGATGTGGCAAATGCAATTTAATTCATTGTTTGGATGATGTTCCAGATAAACATGAACCATATCTTTTCCAATTAAGCAACAATTTGGGCAAAATGCTTACAGGTAGCTTCACACTAAACCTCTGTGCTTTGGCCGTAGCACAGTATACCCACATTATTTTTGTGGGTTAGTTGCACAGGTACACCCAAAGTGCAGCAGATCAGAGTGAAGCCTCCCTAAAATACTCTGTATAGATAATGGCAGAGTACACAAGTGTTAAAACAAAAGCTAGTCTAAGGATTTATGGATATATATTCCAGGCTACTGTACAATACAATCCAAAAACAAAATGGTTTTGCAAAGAGAATGGAATGGACTGTTTGTTGAAGTGACAGAAACATGATTTGTGACGTGCCAACAATATACTTAGGAGAGGCAACTAAAACCACTCACATGACCTGAGTTGGGACAGACCATCTGAGAACCTGACCTATCAGTGACAAAGGTACGTGTTACTTTGAATCTTCAACACTTCTCCATAGAGCAGTGACGGATCTGGACCTGGAAGACTTACTGGGGGACTCTTACTGCTTTGAGGAGCTTGTTATTGCAAGATATAGTTCAGAAATGGCCTAATAAAAACAACTGATGCTTGAAAAAAAATTACGTTTATTCAACAGTTTTTTTTAAGGGCTAAGTAGTTTTGTAAACACACAAAATCTAAATTGCCACAATTTTTTTTTTTACATTTTAGAATCTTGACCGAAAGTGAATTCAATTGCTGCAAGGGATCCAGGATGCTTTCCCTGCTGCTGTGAACTAATTTGACCAAATTGTTTAGGGGTTATTGCTTTCTACAGGGTCATCTGCGGGATTTTAAGGACAAATAGTGTTTCTTTTTTTTTTTTGTATTGAACTTGCTGGAATTTTGTCTCTTTTTTTTAGCCGTGTTTCTATGTAATCATATGGCTACCATTGAATCTGCAATCTACATTGAAGTCCACATTGATTTCTATTTTTAGAAAAAGGGTTGACTGGTTGCTTCTTGCCATATATTTTTTATAAACACCCTTATTAGGAGGACTTATCATAAACATAAGCACAAATGCTTGGGTTCCCTATATACAGGATAATAGGAAATGCATTGCCTTGAGTTGTA